GCTGTTGGATCGATGCATCGATACAAAACGATTATTATTTACACCCCTATCCTCCACAGCATCATGCTTTCATAAAGTCTGTCTATTCTCTGTCGTTAGATGATCTGACGTCAGATGGATGAGATCTCTTCCACGTGTAATGCTGCGTTTAGACCCACAGCAGCAAAGGCAGCGGAGGCAGCTAGTTTACATGCAAAATCAATGGTTAACGCACATCAATGCGCAGCAAAAGGTCCTGTAGTGCGTCTGAGCTGCTGAAGCAGCGCGTCATGAACTTCTGAGCATCTGACGCGCTTCAGAAGAGTTAAATAAATGTAAATTTTGCTGCTCTACGCGCCATGCAGATCCCTATGATCACCCCTCTGAAACAGTTTATTAACGCCTAAATTAACTTAAAATGTCTAAACCTGCCGGCAAAATATGTTCAAATATATTATTCTGGTACCTGGAGTTTGGATTACGTACCTGAAAAAACATCCTTCCAGCAGCGGAAAACTGCAAAGAGGCGACTGGGCCAGAGGCTGCCATTGAACGGGATTCCCAGTGACAGCGACCCGCCGGTGTACGGAGGTCTGAGCGGCTCCGACAGCGAAATAACATTTGAAGGCAGGATGGTAATCTTAAACTGACTGCAGACGATTTTTTCAAGTGGACTTTCTCACTTAAAAACATATTCAAGCTACTTTTTACCCACTGATCACAGCAAATCTAGCTGCCATTGTTCCAGGCAAAGAAAGGATAGGGTAGCTCCGCTCAACGCGCATCAGAAACACTTTTCGGCGGCGCAGCCAGAGCAGCAAAGATGCTTCAGCCGCTCGTCGGAATTAAACTTCTACAAGCATCAAAAACGAAGCGGCACCTGCGTTTTTTCTGCTTTTGCTGCTGGTCTGAACGTAGCATAACAAAGGGGTTTAATTTTTATATTTGAAAGCTGTTCCCTGTGCCAGAATAGGACCTGAAGAATCTCTTTAAATTAGAATATCACCAGATTTTATTTATTTCACTGATTTAAATCAAAAGGTACAGTTCATATTTCGTTTTATAAACAGAGTAATATTTCAAGTATTTATTTCTGTTCATTTTAGTGATTTTGGTTTACATTAAATTTAAATTTACAGTAAATTTCCTGTAAGATTTCATAAGACCCCAAAAAAGGATTTCTGTTGTGGCCTAAACAGTCGTGAGGAGACGGCTGACCTGACGGTTGTCCAGCAAAAGTGACTTCTGTTGAAACGACCCTGCTTTTAACTTGGGTTCGACAATTAATGAGAATAAAAAAAAGAAAAAATATCCCCAAACAATATTTTTTTATGGTCAGATTACATTAAACTAGAGAAGGACTCTGATTTTCCCACTGCAGGCCTCTAGATGGCAGTAATTTGCTTAAAGTGGGTTTGCTGCTACACAGAATGGAAGAGAGAGTTACTGCTGGCCTGCAGAATGAGGCCATGAAAACAATCAAATCAAAGAGAGTTTGTAACATTTATCCTCCAAATCAAAATCTGTTTTTTCATTGTAAAAATGACAGACTGACTTTTAAAAACTTTGGTGTAAATTGGGAAACTAAAATAAGCCCAATCTGGTAATTTGGATGTGAAGTTTGGGTGCCTTCCAGTGGCGGCTGGTGGAGTTTTCTCCGGGGGGGGGGGGCTATAATTTCCAAATAGACTTATACCAAGTTATCACACCAGTATATTTATCTGAATGCCAGCAACAAAAAACATTATAAAAGCACTTTATAAAAACAAAACATAATTTCAGTAACAGGTTTACTTTTTGTACATCTGCCCTTCTGAGGCTTTGTGACAGTAAATCTGTGTTTTGCATGGTCCAATATTGTGCCACAGAACAAAAAACACAATGCACCAGTTTAATAATGGAGAAGTTATTAGTTATATATATATATTTATATATATATATATATATATATATATATATATATATATATATATAAATATATAAAACTTTATTTTATGAGAATTTATTTATTTAAGAGTAACTATCCAAATTAACAAACAATGAGATAAAGTAGACTATATTCTATTATTTTCCATGTGAATCCCAGATTGTTTATTCTTCTTTGCCTTTTCTATAAGGTGCTTTAAATCAGTCCCAGCTGTCTTTATCAGTGTTGTATAAAGTACTGAAAACTTGGAGTCAAGTAAAAGTATAAGTACCTCTCCAAAATATGACTTTGGTAAAAGTCCAAGTCACTGATTGAAATGATACTTGAGTAAAAGTCTTAAACTATCTGAAATGACTTGAACTTAAGTATAAGAATTACTGTAAAAATAGATGTACTCAAGTAATGTAGTGAAAAGTATAAGTAAAATTTAAGTGCAGTTTAAATGTAATTTTTTTAACATTTTGGTAAACTTTGAAGGTTAAATTCACTTAAAATAATCTAAACATCCAAGTGTAGGATAAATTTAGACTGGCTTTGCAGACAGGCGTATCCTATTGGTGTTGATGAACAAGCCCAGGTAAGACCCGACTTTGTAGTCAGTAGGCGGGGTCAAAAAACTTGCGTTTCTCTCGCTTTTTTTTTTTTTACTTAGTAACTAAACCAAACATTGAAAATGTATCGGAGTAAAAGTATGCAATTAAGTTCGTAAATATAGTGAAGTAAAAGTGAAAGTTCTCAAAAAAAGTATACTCTTGGAAAGTATAAAGTACTCCAAAATATACTTAAGTACAGTAGTGAAGTATTTTTACTTCGTTACTATACAACACTGGTCTTTATCCATTTAAAAAAAGAGGCAGGGAAAGCAGAATAAAGCGTTAGCCTCGCTGCATGCAGTTAGCCAAGCTTTCCAGCTAAACCAGGTCCAGGAAAAGGACGTTTCTTCTGCCATGTCTCTCTCTCGTCTCCAATTCCCGCGACTCGACCCGTCAATCATCCGCAAAACGTCTGCACTGTGGCGGGAGGTGGTGAGCAAATACTCTTCCTTTCTGTATTGCAGAGCAACTACTGCGCATGTACAACTTTCAATGAGGGTGAATGGGCAAAGATTTTTGCACCTTAGAGCGGAAATATGTCATCAATCTGACGAAAAATGGAACAATGCTTTACTATCATTAAAGATTAAATATTTATTTTGCAAATCTAAGAAATACACATTCATATATTTTGAAATATTTTAAATGTTAATTTGAAATTAAATATAGAAATATATGTTTATATTTTTTATGTCTTAGTCAGGGTCATTGGGTGGGTGGGGCGTTGCTCTAGCGCCCTCTATTGGCCAGCTGCCACTGGTGCCTTTTAAGTTGAAATGTCATATTTGAAAAATGAGCAGAAATCAGCCAAGAAGTCCGGAAGAGCATCTGGATGTGCACAAGTCTGGGCTAGGGATGTAAACGAATAGTAAAGTGTAAAAAGTATTCACCTGTGCAGTCCAGTTAAATAAAGGAGTTAGATCATAATTCACTAAGTTTGCATTTTCATTAACCTTCCTTACAAAGAGAGAACAAGACAATCATAGCAGCCTAATAGCTCAATCTTCTGCCCTAATCTGGTTGGGCAAAATTCCTCTCACTAACTTAAACCCTGCAGAAAGGCTGTGAAGTTTTTCACAGCTAATTAAAACAATTACAGACAGTTGGAGAAAACAGTAAAACGTTATGAATAAAACCCTGAGAAAGAGTCTAGTTTGTTATGAGGAGTAGTATTTTTATCCCAAACACTCCCTAATAGGATCAACAACTCCTCTGCTTTAGCCACCTATAGTTCTGAGGTCTGAAGGATGCTTTTATTATAAGTAAATGGAAACTCAGCGGTCATAAATCAATATAAATGCCAAAGGAAATGATTAGATAGATTTTTTTTACCACCACATAAACCAACGATTGTCTATAATGTATTAGACTAAAATGTTTTAAACCCAATTGATTTATTCAACTGAGAAATAATTGGTTTCAGGGTTGTAGTGTTGCTGCTATCTTCTAGGGGGCGCCACTGTTCATTCTTTAGCAAAGCCTCACTGGTGTTTGTAAGACTGCCGTATCAGAGGCTGCTGGAGCAGAAACAGGAACGGATCCAGAGTCCGAATGAGGATTATTTTCACTTTTTAAAGAAGACAAGAATGAACTTTATGTGGTTCTGTTTATATCAAACAGTAGCTACGTTTACATGGACACTAAATGAAATGATCCGATCATGACGTGTGTATACATGTACCAAGCGTTGGATCAGATTAAATCTTTTAAGCATGGGCAGAAAATCCTCTCCACCA